AAGAGAAACATGTGAATTGATATGAAGTCTGAAATAAAGTATTGGCTATGTGACCAACTGGCCAGGATGGGACATGCCTACCATCATCTGGTGGCAAATTAGACTGCAGTTTATTTTTGCAATTAAAAATAAAATCACCTCCTGAACAGCATCATGAACAATATTACCAAACAGCACATGCATCTTTGTGAGGGGACGACGAGTATAGATGAAGGGTGTTAACATCAAGGAGGGAAGTTTGTCAGTGAAGCACTAAGGGAGTATTAACAGGGAAGTTAAATATTTTTAGAAAACAGTCAACAATGCAAACTTTAAATGAAAATTCCACAGTGCAAGAGTGTTTTATAAGCATTTATGCAGATTCCCACCACAATCTTACCCCCAGAAGCACCTCACCTAGTTTGCCATTGCTAAGTCTCTTCTGCTCAACATGACCTTTGAGTGCTCTCACTTTCTTCAGCTTGGCTTCCTGATTTTCAGCTATTTCCTTCAGTCGCTTAAGCTTTTCCTGTTCAGCAGCTTGTTGTTGTTGTCGTTGGTCCTGCTGTTTCAGGAATTTCAAACGCTGCTCCTGCAGGTACAGGCACAAGCCAATTCAGCAATTACTTTTTTTTTTTAAACTACATTATGAAGCGGTCTCAGGAGAGGAAAGCAGTGTATGTCACGGGCTGTACAAAGACTCAGACATTTGACTGCGGGACAGACCTCCGAGTCATGATCACAGTGAACACAGATAATAGCAGGTAAGAAGATTACAGAAGTGGCAAAGGTTTCAAATGGGGAGACAAATGCCCTAGAACCCACACTCTGAACCAGTCAAATTTATCCTTCAGGCATTGGGTAGAAGGGTTCAAGTTGACTCCTCAAATGGTAAAACAATCAGGAGTCACTGATATCCTTCTACTAAACTCAGCAACTGCTTGCAGTTTTCCATAAAGTCAGAAGGGCCCACTAGATCAGTGGGAGCCAATCTTTTTGGCAGGGGTGCCACAAATTAATCCTGTAACCTCCTTGAGTGCCACTCCAATCCACTTCCACTGTCTGATCTGCTTTCTGCTTCTTGCCTGATTTACTTAGCTTTCTGCCCTGTCTGCTACTGCACTGCCTGTCCTTTCCCCAAGCTGCCACGTGTCAAACACAAACAGACTACTTGTGGCAGCTATACTGCAGAATGGCCACCCCTGCACTAGATCTAGTCTTGTGATTCTCAAATAGGGAGTGTTGCAAATTTCTGGAGGATACCTGAGAAGGGGTAAATATAAATAAGGATAAAGGAAAAAAAAAAACATGAGGGAGTCTGCAATATCCCTTCATTTATGAGAGAGGTTACTGCAGGGGTGGGAAAATATTGCAGGTGGAAGACACTTAATGAGGTTTGGTGAGCTTTAGAGGGCTGTGTGGGTAGCCCTTTCTCTTCAGTTGCCCCACCTTGGGTCACCGTCTTGGGACTGGAAGTCCCACTCCCTAACCCAACCTTTGCCACTGAAGTCTCTCCCCTTGCCCCCCAAAAGTACTACTCTGGGGTGGGGTGGGGGAAGGAGAGGGGTGCCATCTTAGAACCAGAAATAAAACCAGATCATACGCTAAAAGTCAAACATCTACTATAACATATTTTAATTTTATTACAAGAAATATTTTTGTCATGATTTATGTAGTGTATATACAGGTGATTGCATAAAAAAAAAATCAAAAATAAATTTTTAGTCTTGTATATTGTGTGGGGGTGCTGCTGGGGGGAGGGTGTGTATGGTGAGTTGTGGGGGGCTGTTGGACTGTTGTGTATATATGGGGGGTAGGGTGTGGGTGTATGGCATTTGTGGGGTATGAGGGAGAGTGCAGGGGCTGGAGGGACCCCCTCCATGTTCCCCACATAGCTAAACAACAGGTGGGGGTGCTCAGGGTACTCATGCCTGACAGTGCACAGCAAAGGCAGCTGGTTTCAGCACATGGGGCTTCCCATGCTGCACAAGTGCAGGGGCTGCACATATGCGTCGGGGAGCGCCAGTGATAGAGATGGCCTAGCAGGGGCTGCACTCCTTGCCATGATGTTGACAGTGCTGGCTGGTCTACCTTGAGTGCCCCCATCTGATGTTGCCACTGGTGCCTGCCACAGCTGTGCACCATGGAGGAAGTGTGGGGGGGGTGTCTCCACAATCCCCTATCCTCCCTCACACCCACGCCCTGCTGATCTGAGCTCCATGCTACTGCCACCCCCTGGACATGGGATCCACACTGCCGCTAGCCCCATGATCTGCATTCCCACCCAGCTGCAGCTCCGCCCCTGCCCCCAGCACTTCTCTACCTGCTGCCTGGAGCGAGCAGGACACCAGGGAGCTGAGCAAGTCCCTGGGACTGCAGCAGTAGCCCTGCCCAGGACCTGCCTGCTGGCTGGGCCAGGACTTTCCACCCATGAGGGAGGGAGAATGCATCAGTGTAACAAACTTAGAGGGGTACATGACTAAAAAGTGCGAGACCACTGACCTAGTCTGATTTCCTGTGTATTGTGAGCTATTAAATGTCACCTGTTTTCTCCTGTACTGAACTCAGAAAGTACATTTAGAGAAAGACTGGATGCCTTTCTAGAAAACACTTCAAGATATGGAGAATCCAACTGCCCACTGTAGTTTGTGGTTAATGGAGAATAGTTATCAATGGTTTCCCAAGCACCCACCAAAGTCTCAGGTCCAACATTTTTCAAAAGTGTTTGACTAGCATTTCTGGTTTGTGCTCAGCACTTTGTCAAAAATCAAGACCCTTTAAGGCACCTAAGGTTGGGCGTTCAAACTTTAAGATGGGCAAAAAAAAAAAAAAAAAAAAAAAAAAAAAAAAAAA